TTGACGGCTGTTTCGAGTCCAAAAATTCACTACAACCGTTTTCGCACTAAAAGTTGGCCTCGGCGTGCTGCAGATCCCAAGCAGTTACTGAAAGCCTTCAAATTTCTTATTGTTTGTTATGCGTTTTTGTACATGTGCAAAGGCAAAAACGCATATTATGATGAACCGCATGTATATTTTTGTGTGTATTTGTATGTGTGCATGTACGCGTGTCCGTGTATTTCAGTTCAGCAAGCAGGCAAGCTTCGGCGCTGAAATTTTACCAGAGGGTCCCCCGATCAAATTCCATCCCGGGACCACGGTACCAGCCTTCACGCACGCCTGTGCCGACATACGCCCCGTGAAATTTTTTGACGGGAAAATCGCGAACTCGGGATCCAGAAAAGCTAGAAAACTGAAATTTCAATGGGATCTTCCCGGCCTAGATACACCTTGAAAATTTCAAATTAGTCCCAACGCCACGCAAAAATTTTTGGCGAAAAAATTGCTAACTTAGGGCCGGAGAAGACAGAAAGCTGAAGTTTTGAAGGGTATTCCTTGACCAATTACCATGCAGCTTCACAATTAACTTCTTTAAATTCGAAGACCAGTATGCCATAAATTCTAGCTACTGAAACTCTAAGCGATATTAACAATACGAAATACTGCAAAAACGTGTGATCATTTGGGTTCGCCAGGTGCGCGTCGTCAGTGATATTCTTAAAGAAAACAGAAGGCGATGTCGGAACACAAATACTCTCGACGGTTGCAGATTGAGGGTATTAATTTCGTACATTCTTCTTAACTAAAATTTCATCTCTAAGAGCACAAAACTTTCATGAATACTCACTGAATGTGCTGTTATTTGCAGCATCAGTGCACTCGTGCTACTACTGCTATTTACATCTTTTTCAATCGTTGGCTATGGATATGTCGTTACTTATGACGATGCAGGAGAAAAGGTAAAATTTGCGCGATGTGAACCTTTTGCCGGCAAAGCGAGCAGCAAAACATGTGGAAAAGGGGCGCCGTTGGAAAACTCCTTCCGTTTTCGAGTGCCACATGTTCCTCTAAAAACTTGGTCGGTGAGTAAAATCATTGGCGACGCTCACCGGCGGGCCCATGCGATCATGCATTTTTGTAGTGTTTTGTGCTGCATCACTCGAAGTTCCGCTGGCTAGAAACCTCTTATACATACTGGTCCTTGAAATTCGAGAAGTAAATTAT